ACCTCAGTCCATCACAAGCTTTCACACGTGGAACACTACCTGCAGTTCAGCGTTAATCATCCGATATGCTTGAAAATAGGTGTAATCAGTAGTTCATTTGACAGAGCCGTGCGACTAATATCTGACGCAACAGAACTTCAACATGAAATCCACTAAGTGAAAAAAATTCTGCAACAGTTCATTAAAAGAGTAGTAAAGAATAGAAACAACGTCGCCGGTCAACCGCTAACACAAACGCTCGCTCTAACAAGACCTTCAGCATTCCCTTTGTTCCCCTAGTTACAAAGTCGATTAGACGTGTGGTGGAAATGGTGAGCATCAGGAAGTCTTCAAACCAAACGAAAAAATAAGATCTCGATTGACAAAAACTAAAAACAAGATGAAGAACCCAAAAAACTTGTGTAATTTACTCAGTAAATTGACACAAATTTCCAGATATCGTTCATTGAATAAAAGTGTCAGACAGTTATAAACTAAGATAGTAGAATATAAATCCGCAGCGACCATCACAAAGCCAACCACCGAAAAAAAGCAATGCGTGGGAGAAAGCTCGACAGTTGCCTTCAAGAAATTTTCACCAAACTTAACGTAAATTTTAGCTGTTTAAAAGTGGCGCAGCTATTTGGTGCTGCAAAAAGCGCTTATTTGCTGAGGCTTTTTTAATCCAAATAAGACCCATTGTCATGAACAGAGCTGAAGGATTTTATATGGGCGTGATTTCTGTAAAATTCAGAGAAAGAGCAAAACGGTAATTGTCAATAGATCTTGCTGATCTCGTACCACCGTAGCTCTGTGCATGACTCTAATTGATATCGATTGCCTTATGCTGAGAAGGGTTAATAGCGTCAGCCAAAAGCTTAATTCTGCACCAGAAACGTTTCTACCGTATGATGCGAGTTTAAATAAATAACGTTTTACTCATGAATCAACCAGTAGTGTCATGTATCCATATACATATCGCATGATAGTAGATGATTAACAGGTAACTTTTTTGACTTCACCTATTAAAATATACACATCAATCCTAAACGAGCGTAGTTCCCTAGCGGTGAATGAAATGAATAGAATAAAAAATATTCAGAGAATTCAATTTTTAAACAAAAGAAATAATCAATAAATTACATTCTTTGCATTAAACGGCAAAAACCCAAATCACATACCGTTTGCACTCCCTAGTATTTCAAACAATGAATAACTGGTCGAAGAACAGATTTGAAGAAGTATCGCACCGTCCCCTAGCTCCTATTTGCTTAGAGACGTTTTAGACAGATCACGACTCCATAGCATTTGAGCACCTGCGGTATCAGATGCATCTCGCATCATTTTGGTTGCTAAAGTCATAAAGCTAACCTGGTCTTGAAGAAATTATTCGCTATTTGACATAATCTGTTGTACGAACGGTTTATGACGCTTACGCGATAGAATATATCGAGCACCAGCTCCCGAAACATCATTCTTCAGAGGGCAAAATCATGCGGGACGTATCTGCCTCTACAAATGCTCTACCGTGGCGCCATAACCTGCTTAAGTCGCCCCTAGTCAACTATGAGCAAGAAAGCTGAGCAATAAGCAGTAAAATCTGCTCTTGGAACAGTCATTCGTTATTTGAAAAAGTTACATATGCACATGGAAAGTGCTGAGAAATTTATGCATTTGCCCTCTCGCATGGATCTAGCAACCGTCATTTTATCTGGACTAACAGCCCCATGGACTGTGCTTAAACTCTCGAAAAGGTGGGGCTGATAGCTACTGGCGATAACTTTTCACGCACACGAAATGGAACATTGTCCCAGCGAACGCCGTGCGACACATTGCAAGTCACGTT